GCCTCATGAATGGGATTCGTGTCCTTAGAAAAGAGACCCACAGAGCTGGCTAGTCCCTTCTTCCAGGTGAGAGCACAGGGAGGTATCACCTATGAACCAGGAACAGGGGCCTCACCAGACACCGAATTTTGATTTTGGACTTTCCACGCTCAGGAACTGTGGGCAATACCTTTCGGTTGTGTATAAGTCACCTAGTTTATGGTATTTTGTCAGCGGCCGGAACAGACAGAGGACCCTCACCAGGAGACATTAGAGGAGGGCTGGAGGGACCCAGGACATCCAACCAGCGTTAAGCTACAGATTCTGGAGTCACGATTTATTTGGCAATCTTGGGCTTCATCAGAACCCAGAGATAACCCAGTCTCATCAGTGGTGATGCTGGCCAGCTCTGAGCCAGCACTTGAAGAAGATCAGATAACAGAGTAAGTGGAGAAGCAGATGTGGGAGCCCCAAACTGGCCTGGGGGGCTTTGGCTTTGAAAGTTGCTTCTACCCAGAAGTGGCCCCAGGGGGGACACCCTCCCAGGCTACCTTGGGCACTCACTAATTTGCTTTCAAGGACACAGGGTTACGCGGCCGTCCACAGATCTCAAAATGCACAGATTAGTTGTGTTTGGGCATGTGAACCTGAATGACCTTTAGCCGGGAACAGTAACTGGCAAACGTTTTTCCAGCCTTCCCACTGTACAGGACACTCATTTCAGGCATCTCTTCAGGATCCACACCCCTGGCTGCATTTCCCTGTGGTCTTTCTACCTTGGTTTTCTGCTTTGAGTGAGAAGCAATATGTGAGTCATTTTGTTGTTGTTTAGCAAATGTGTTTTGAGCCCTGATTACGTCCCAGGCTCCCTACCGGGTCTTAGGGTGGATGGCAGCGAATGGCTTAGAGTTGGTTGCTGCACTCCAGCAGGCCACAGTCTAGCGCAGCGCTTCCGGAAGAAACGGAACATGAGCCTCATCTAGCTAATGGGGGCACGTGTGTGCCCATTCCCCAGCCTCCACGGCCCCAGTCAGCCTGGGGAATAGGAGGCTCCTGAGCTTCCAGTGACCTCCTGCTCATGGTGGCATGAGCATGCTGTGCAGGCAAGGTTTCTAAACATAAAGGACTCGCCTGCAGAAAATGGAAAGAAAGGGGACCCTCTGGACATTGACTAGGCTAGTCTCCTGGCTGCTGTTTATTTTTATGTGGGTGAAGCAATTAATGTCCTAAGTAAAGATTCAGCGGGTAACCATTTATTAGCTGAATGTCTTGCTATGGTGACCAGCAGTGACCTGCTTTTGTTAATGTGTATCAGACAATTAGTGTCACACTGTCATTACCCTAATAGGATTCTACAAATGCTGTTCTGGTGTGCTGGAGAGCAATTTTGTGAGGGAATTCCATAGCAAGTAATAGAAAGTAAAGTTGAGAATTACTCGTCTTTTTCACTGCGATTTGGAAAGATGCCTCTTTGTGGAATGAAACCATTTTTAGACTGGATTTTTTGTTTAATTAATAAAAAAGGTTTAATTTTTATTAGTCAAGGTCTTTGCAGCGCAGAGCGGTTTGGTCTTTCGTTGGAGGAGCGTCGGTTTTTCGCTCTGCGATTGTGGCCTCAAACTTCGGCGGTGGGGAAAAAGAAATAGCCCGAACCAAGCCGACAGCTTGTAAATCCCCCAGGGGAAAGCCCTCGGCAAGGAGCTGGCCACAAAAGCCGCCAGGACAGCGCCCCTCTCCGGGGGCGGTGAAGAAAACTCATCCCTACAGGCCAGGGGCCGGGGCGCTGCGAGAGATTCGTGATTATCAGAAGTCGGCCCAGCTGCTCATCCGGAAGCTGCCTTTGCAGAGCCAGGTGCAGGAGATCGCACCCAATTTCAAAACCGACCTGAAGTTTCCCAGCGCAGCCATCCGTGCACGGCAGGAGGCTAGGAAGCTACCCGGTGAGTCTGTTTGAAGATACTATCCATCCACGCTGAGAGACACTATCTCATCCATGAGAAGATACTATCTCATCTAAGCTGAGAGAGTCACCATCATGCCCAAAGACATCCAGTTGGCTCGCCGGATACCGAGAGAGAGAGCGCTTCAGTGAAGGCAGTTTTTATGGTGTTTTGTAGTAAATTCTGTAAAATACTTCGGTTTGTGACTTGTGTAAGAAATTGTTTATAATATGCTGCATTTGTACTTAAGTCATTCCATCTTTCACTCAGGAGGAATGTGGAAAGTGAGTGTCCACTGACCTCAGGGATGTGAGCACTGTCGCTAAGGAGTGACAAGCTGCTAATATGCAGAAGGGATGGATGATATTTCTTGCTTCTCATGATGCATGTTTCTGTATGTTAATGACTTGTTGGTTAGCTATTAAGGTACTAGAATTGATAAATGTGTACGGGGTCCTTTTGCAATAAAACCGGTTATGACTTGATCCAAGTGTTTAACAATTGCGGCTGTTAAGTCTGACCATACATCGCTGTGATAGAATGTGGGCTTTTTCAAGGGTGAAGGTACAAGTCTTAACCACAGTATAACTTACAGTTTCCGTAAAAAAAAAAAAAAAAAAAAAAAAGTAAACTTGGCAGCTATAGAATACACTGTGTCCATTTATAACTATTTAATACATTGTAGTGTCAACATTTTTAAATTAAACGTTTTATCTTCACAAGTGAAAAAAAAATGGTTGATATAGTTTGGCTGTGTCCCCACCCATATCTCATCTTGAATTGTAGCTCCCACAATTCCCACGTGTTGTGAGAGGGACCCAGTGCGAGGTAATTGAATCATGGGGGTGGTTCCCCCATACTGTTCTCACGGTAGTGAGTAAGTCTCACGAGATCTCATGGTTTTATAAGCGGTTTCCGCTTTTGCTTGGCTGTCGTTCTCTCTTGTCTGCTACCACGTAAGACGTGTTTTTCACCATGATTGTGAGGCCTCATCAGCCATGTGGAATCATGAGTCCATTAAACCTTTTTCTTTATAAATTAGCTAGTCTCAGGTATGTCTTTATCAGCAGCATGAAAACAGACTAACACAATCATATTCTTAGTTAATAATGTTTGCTTTTCTCTGGTCAAACGGGTTTGAACTTTAACTGAAGAACAGGCTGTTTGAGCAAATGCATAGTTTCTAAGGAGTTTAAAACTATCTGAAGTAAATGTAACAATATTTAATGGAGGAAAATAAGTTATGGCTTACAAGTGTTATTGGGAAAATGTTCATATTTTGGGGACTATCATATGTAGAAGTGTTAAAGTAAATTAGAATGGAGACCAGACCTGAAGAATCCCTGGGCGGACAAAACCAGTTAGGCCTCATAAATGACCTAACCCTTGCTTGCTTTGCAAACATAAGCAAAACTTAACTTGAGCTATTTGTTGTAAATACCTATACTGAAGAAAAACAGGATATAAGCTCAACTGACCAGGACAGGCACCAAACTTATATAACCAGGGATCTTCCAATGGAACAGACCAAATGAGGTAGCTGTGCAGCTGGAGCCACAAACTGTGCTGCTTTCCTCTGTGTCCATCCTATGGAAGCCTTCTCCTTGCTCCCCCCAGTGGAGCTCCTTAACCATGTCTGGTTTGGAGCTGCCTAGTTCATGAATTGTTGTTTGATCAAATAAATTCTTTAAAATTTATTTGTGCCTCAGTTTACTGTTCAACAGAATGAGTTTTTATAGATTTTAGCATTCAAATCAGTTTTGTGAAAGGCTCATAGATGTGTACTGATACCTTATTAATGTTTCCCCAGTGACCAAAGACATTAAGCATCTTTGCATGTACTTATTTGCCACTGAATGTATTATTTGGTGAAGTGTCAGATCATTTGTCCATTTACAAAACATATGCTTTATTACTGAATTTTGATAGTTCTTTACATATTATGAATATTAAAATCTTTACCAGATATGTGATTTATAAATATTCATCAACAGTCCATTCCTTCACATTGCTGAGTAGTATTCCAGTATGTGATGTCCCACAGTGAGTGATGTCCATTCCTCTGTGGATGCTGAATCTCCCTGAAGTTATGATTTCTTTTTAAAAATTCCCTTTGATGCCTAGGATCATGTTTTCTTGAAGAGGCTTTCATTGTTCTTTCATGATGCAGATTTTTCTATGTACCAGGCGCTTCTTGCTCACTGGTTCACATTTTCTAAGAAGCACCAGAAAGTCTGAGCAGGAGAGTTAATTGGAGGGGCACCACACCACCCCCAGCTTCCCTGCAGCTCGAGGCAGGAGGTAACCAGCCATTATGGGGCAGGATCCCTGAAGACCAAAATGTGGAGACTTTATTTTTTTCCTGGGATGCCAACACCTAGTTCTCCGTTTTTCCCCACTTAGTTAATTTTTGTGTTAGGACAGACCACCACCTCAGCCTACCTTTCTCTTCCCCGGCAATGGGCACATGGCTCATTTCTGGGCTCTATGTGCTGTCCGTGGGGAGTGGGAGTGCAGAGGACATTTCTGGGCTCTCTGTGCTCATTTCTGGGCTCTATGTGCTGTCCGTGGGGAGTGGGAGTGCAGAGGACACTGCTTTCTGCTGCGGGCACCATGTTTAGTTGGTCTCACTTTGAGGTGCTCATATCCCTCTGCCCTCTGTCAGCCCAAGTGTGAGGACCCAGGGTCTCGGCTGGGTGCGTGCTGTCATGGCCTCTCTGCTCTGACACATCAGGCCCATCTCCACCCGTGCTGTGATCTGTCTGCAGTGATGACTCTCTCTCACTCTATGGGGCCACTCCCCCACTTAAATTCCTTTCAGGTGATTTCAACTGGGGTCAGGATAGAGAGGGGAGAAGGAAAAGTGTATGTTCAGCTCATCGGATTTAACTGGAAGCTCTCAAGGCTACTTTAAAAATCATAAAAGCCATTCCCAATAAGCTTGTTTGTTTTCAAGGAAATCTCCTTTCCAAATCACTGTAGATAGTAAACAGAAGAAGTTGAAAAAACCAAATAAAAACAGGAAACACGATGAAAGAATGTTTCGATGTAACAATTAGTAAAAGAATTTGAGCTACCTTGTTAAATGGCAAAGTCTATTTATTATGTTGTTAAAGACAACTAAAACAAATGGCATTTAAAAACTCCAGATGAGACGATAAAGCAAAGAAATGCCAGATGAATTCATCAAGATAAAAAGCAGTATGGCAATGTTTTCATCAAAGTAGAATTCAAGTCATGAAGCATTCAACAGGAAGATTATTTTATACTGATAACAGGTACAGGCTATGAGGGAAAAGCTTTGCAAAGCAGCAACAGCAAAACAGAAAGCAAAAAACAATTAGAAGAAGATTAGCTATGGAAGAAAAAGAAGGCTGTAGAGAATCTTAACAATATAATTATTATGTTTCAATCGACAAAGAACAGGATAAATCTTAAAAAGTGGTCTTTTTATTGTTACAGAAGGTAATCATTCTTTACACTACAACGGAAAACTCAAAATCCACAAAGGAGAAATTTCACAGACAATAATCTCTACTATATCCATACGTGGAGAACAGAACAAAAAACTAGGTCTAGACTAGAGGACAAAGAGAAACCATGTCAGACCAGAGCATATTGATGGCTCATGGTGAGTGACCCATGGCCTAAAGGTGCCTGTTTAGGGCCCAGGAGCCACTTGCACGGCAAAGCAACTTACTCAGTCTAAACCACCACCAGCACCCCTCCCTGCCTGGTGATGTCACCTGGGGGGCTGGGCTGGAACAAGTCCAGATGCCTTTGCCCCGCCTTGGAAGAGCCACAAGGAGCTTCCTCCTCTATCCCCAAGTTCTCCACTTACACACAGCACCTGACAATGAAGGTTGGCAAGTTTCCCCTGGGCCATGACTGCACAATGGCTACCCCCGGCCTCTGTGGCCTCCGAGAGAGGGCTCCAAGACATATCCCAGCCCTACAGGGGGAAAGCAACACTGCTGTTGACCTTGAAGGGATCACTGTAGGGGGCTATAGAAGGGATTGTGACATTTATTGTTCTGAAAATGCCATCAAAGACAGTTGTAAACTCTAGTCTTAGACACACTTGGCAAGACATAGCCAAAAGAGGCAAATTCGAAATTCGAACAAATGTCAGCAGTTATTACCTGGAGTTTGAAATTCTGATCTGTTACACAGTAGGATACTTCAACCTTCATTTCAGTTTATTTAAGTACTTATTAGGTAGCTTGCAAAATTACTAGAAAAAATATTTCTAGAGGACATCTTGAAAATGATGAAGTAGCAGGAAAATTACAAAGATATAACTTATTTACAAAGTCCCTAGAGAAACACCATTGGAAAGCTTCAACTTGAAGATAATTTCGTTGAAAATGCACTTAAAACAAAAATGGAATTAGAATTTTTCTGAACTTTGGATACTCTTCAAATTTCTGGAGGTACCACCTAAAAATAAGAAAAAAAAATTTTTTTAAGGGAATAATTCTGTCACTTAGACATTTAACAGATGCTAACAAAAGTGACAATATTTTTCATGACAAAAGACTATTCAGTTTTTAAATGTAGTAACAAAAACTTTGGCATTTCATACTTATAGTTTAATTTTGCCTATATCATGAAGAATTAAATATATCTAATCATAAAGTGTGATTCGGAAGAAGTAGCCCATAGAATTCAGCTTTCTATCTGGAAGGAAAATTACTGACATTTGATGAAAATACTGAACAGCACGTTGTGGAGCTGTCTTTTCAGCCCCTGGGGCAAGCATGCAGGCTGGAGGAGGGGCAGGACCAAGTAGGTGCTTCTGAATATCTGCTGGTAGACTCCTAAGAGTTTTCTCCAGCCTGCAGCCGAGAACTACTGGCCTAGCCCCGGGTGTATAGAGTGGGCGCCCAGCTGTGTACCAGGAGGCTCAGGAACAGCCCTTAGTAAGGATTCAGTGAAATCTGGGAAAATGTAGTACGGCGTTGTCCACAATTCAGCCTTGTGCTCAAAACAAACAGTATTTTCAGTTTTGATATAAATTGTATCAACGAAGGCATGCTCATTTGTTTTGGGGGTAATAGCCAGTTGGGAAAGGTGGCAACTAAGTGGATGGAGTAAAAATTAGAAATAATTTGACAAGATGGAGAAACAGTCATAAAAGGGAGTTTCTATAAACACACAAAGATTAACAGGCTAAAAATCATAAGAGAAAGCAATTAGCTCGCTGTTAATGTGGTAGAAACATATGAGGATGAGAAACTGAGAGGCAGTTGGCAAACCCCTGCTGGTCTTAGCTAAGTTTAACACCGGAATCCACAAATAGAGAATCTGAACATACTGGGCGGCCACGTTTACTTTTTTATGTTCTGTGTCCCCAAAAAGGCATGTAATAAGAACAATTCTAAGAAGTCGGTCAGGACTTCCAGGTCAAGGATCACTTCCCCTGGCATGAGGCCTCGAGACTGCAGCCTTTCCAGCTATGTGGCTCAGTGGTGGCACACGGACCGGAGTGCCCAACACACAACGTGGCCAAGCCCAATAGCTGGTGTGAAACCTGTGAAAGTGGATTGCAAACATGTTCACTGGTTAGAGGCTGAAGGTTTTCACAGCTGGTGTGAAGCCTGTGGAAGTGGATTGCAAACATGTTCGCTGGTTAGAGGCTGAAGGTTTTCACAGCTGGTGTGAAACCTGTGGAAGTGGACTGCAAACATGTTCGCTGGTTAGAGGCTGAAGGTTTTCACAGCTGGTGTGAAGCCTGTAGAAGTGGACTGCAAACATGTTCGCTGGTTAGAGGCTGAAGGTTTTCACAGGCCTGCTAGGATCCAGGCCATCCACCCCTTGCAAGTGCCGGAGAGCTTCCCCACGCGCCAGCGACACTGGATGCCGCACAGGGACATAGCGGGTGAGCTCCTCTCTCCCAGAAACTGCCCGTGGAAGATGGGCACCCTGGCCTGAAAAGTCAAGGGCAGAGTACATGACAGCAGGAGAGCCTGAAATGGGCCAACACGAGAGGGCAGGCGGGAGACAGGAGACACAGGACTGCCGCAGGACGCCGAGAAAACGCTCCTTCCAGCCAGGCTGGGCAGCGAGGCTGGGCTCCGTGACATCAGAAAGAACACGTGTGAGGTCAGGATGTTCTCACATAATGAAGGGATGTTGGCTGAAGAGGTTAAATGTATTTCACAGAAACCATTATATGGAAATAAAATATTTATTGTTAAATGATTAAATTTTTCTCACTCCTTAGAATACCTTTAAATTTTGCCTTTAAAGAGAATATTTGTTAGCAACCCAGCACAGGTGACTGTTTCTGACCTAGAGTTTAACTATCAATGCAATCATTTATGAATTTAAATACTAATTATTTCAGAAAGAATTTCATTGTAATACAGTTTTGTTTTTAGAACATTATAATCCGGCCAGGCGTAGTGGCTCACGCCTGTAATCCCAGAACTTTGGGAGGCCAACGCGGGTGGATCGTGAGGTCAGGAGATCAAGACCATGCTGGCTAATGCGGTGAAACCCCATCTCTACTAAAAATACAAAAAAATTAGCCAGGCGCCTGTAGTGCCAGCTACTCGGGAGGCTGAGGCAGGAGAATGGTGTGAACCTGGGAGGCGGAGCTTGCAGTGAGGCAAGATCGCGCCACTGCACTCCAGCCTGG